CACATCCTAAGCCATAGCTTAGGAACACAAGGGCCTGGCACTTGGCAAATTCAGCTCTACCCCACCAACCTGGGTGGTCACCAGAGACAGTCACACTTTCAGAGTGAGGCTCCTCTTCTCAGGGGCATGGAGTGTAGACCCTCCCCTTATAGGAAGAATAGCTAATGTTTACCCAGTGCTTACTGTGTGCCCGCACTGCTGCCAACCCTCCAACTGTTCACTCTTCACAACAGCCTAGGCGAGAAGTACAGGTACCATCCCCATTTTGCAGATGAGGCAATTGAGGCACAGAGAGGTCAAGTAACTTGTCTAAGTTCACACAGCTAGTGAGCAGCAGAGCTGGGCGTGGAATCCAAGCGGTCTGGTTCCAGAGCCCCAGTGCCTAACAACTGGATTATGCTGCTTTTATAGAAAAAGGGATAGAGAAGCAGCGGGCACTGGAGCTGCAGGGACTTTGGATGCAATCTAGTCCAAACCTTTCATTTTGTAGGTGAGAAAGCTGGGGCTGAGAGAGGGGAAGAACTTGCTAATGGTAAAGTAAAACAAACAAACACTTCTATTGAAATTATATTTAGGGCTTAAAAACTAAACAGAGACAGTTTTAATTATCATGGAATAAAACTCAGAGATAATATCACGGGCCAGGAAGATCCACTAACAACACCGCGTTACTTAGAAATACTCGTTGAAGGCAGGGAGAGGCCCGGACACAGGGGTTTCCACACTGAGTTCCCCAGGGGCTGCTCTCAGGGGGCAGGGGGAGGCCAGCAGATGAGAAGGCTCATGGTCCCCTGCTCTGCACCCATCAGAGCATCTCTCTTTTTATCTGTTTTACAAATGGGCCCCACCCTCCCACTGCCCTCGCCGGCCCCTTCCTGAAATGCTGACTTGTCCTTTTCTGCAGAGTCTCTGATCCCCACCTTGGCTTTGGCTCCCCAAAGAGTGACTCAGGCCCAGTGGGGCGGCCGAAGCCGGGTGACCGAACGGCCTGGGAGGGCGGGGTGCTTTCCCACACCACACACCAGGCTGGGGGCTGAGAGAGAAAGCAGCCCTCGGGATCCCCATAATCCCAGGGCTGAACGCGAGGGCTCGCCTCCCTCACCCAGAAAGCCCTAAGCAAACACTCCCTCCTGCCCCTGCTCCACACCCCTGTCAGCTGCTGAGCCCTCTTTGACAGGATGGGGAACAGCTGCCAGATGAGGAAGGGTCATGGAGGACAATAGCGGAAGCTGTGGGGCTGGGGTGGGGACCGGCTTTGAGCTCTTGCTGCCAGGTCGAGTCACCTGGTCCAATCCCCTGCCTCTGGCCCAGGTAGGCAGGCGGCACCTTTCCATTGTCAGGGGGAGAGACTCTCCTCTGCCCCTCTCACTTGAGCTCTCTTGCATAAGAAGTTCTTCTTTATGTCTCCCTTCAGTTCCTCATGCTACACTTTGAGGATTTGGTAAGCTTCTGGCAATTCTGACTTAATAATAAGGCCACAGGATATAGCTCTAGTCTAGAACTTTCTTCTTGTCTGGTTTGGGTTTATTAGAGGGTTTGTAATTAAGGTAATTTGCATTTAGTTAATTGGAGGACTCAGAATTGGCCCCTCAGGACAATGTCACACCTTACTGGGTACTTTTAGGGACAGGGCCACATAACAACCAATCACGTGATGAAGGCAAGGATAGAAGGAGCTGAGACACCTCTGCAGACCATGCGGCGTGCTGGCCAGGACCCTGCTGCTGCTCTGCTGGACCGCAAGCTACGGGTCTGTACAAGTTGTGGTGTATTTGTTTCTGCAGGTGTTGTGTGAGCAGAGTTGCTGATACAAAGCATTGTGGTCTAGAGGTTAAGGTCCCAGTCTTTGAAGACAGGCAGATAGGACTGCCTCCCACCTCTACCACTCATCCTAGCTGGGTGACCTCAGGCACGTTACTTAACCTCTCTGAGCCTCAATGTCTGCAGCTCTAAACTGAGCATTACAACACCTCTTTTGCAGGGTAGCTGTGAGGAATGGACCTGTTATAAGGAAATCACCCAGTGTCCGGCACATAACGGCAGCTCTAAATGAGAGTCCCTTCTACCTGAAAAGCACTACGGCCTTTCCCTCATCTTTCTTGTTGTCTCAGAGATGGAGTATGCCTCAATTTAGAGTTAACTTTGCGAGAAGTACTGCAGCCATGGCTCCATGGTTTGGGTGCCCCATAGGCACAAAGTAGGATTGACTGTATGTTAAATAGTATTTCCCCCCAAATCTCTTCCACCCCCGCTTGCCTTTTGTTTGGAGCACTGGACACAAGTGGACATGACTTTGGGTACAACACACCATGTCATTTTCTCCTGGTCCTGGAGTGTCACAGCCACAGACCACAAGACACAATGACATGTCATGGGCCACCTTGGGGCTCTGAGGATGCAGTCCCTCCTCCTAGCCCACGAAGTCCTCGGCAAACCCCAGGGGAGCCGGGAGAATGGAGCGTGAGTAGGAGGTGAAGGTGAGGCAGCCAGGGGTCTGAGCTCTGGGCCCTCACTCAGGCTGCCATCCTGGCGACAGCCCTACCTCTTCTCGTGGTAGGAAACCAGACATTCAGACCTCAGCTCCCCCAGGGGGTGGCCCCAGGTCTCTGCTCCTGCACCTGCAGCCCAGAGACCTGGAGTAGCTCCACCTTCCTGCCCAGCCGGGCCCACCTGGGGTCAGGGTGGACATCAGTAGTGCCTGGGATGCTGCTGCCCTCAGAGCCCCCTTGACCTGAACAGTCGGTTCAATCAGGTTTGCTCAGGTGCCTAATTCTGGACTGACTGCTGCACAAATTAGACAAACCAACTTCCTACTTCTCTGGAGAGGCCAGAGTGCAGAGGCTTTGGGACCAGACTGATGTGGGTTCCAGACCTGGCCCCACCACATGCTACTGTGCGATCCCGGGGGCTACTTCACCTCCCCAAGCTACCAAGTCATCATTTGTGAGCATGGCTGTGATGCCGACTCAAGGAACTTTTAGGAAGAGGAAGTGCTAATGTGTATATAAAGCATCCAGCACGGGGTCTGCACAGTTGGCCCTCAATAAAGACACTGAAAGGGTGAGTGAAGGTCAACCTTGTCTCTGTAGGAGATGGTCCTCGCTCTAGAAGGCTCCCTTACTACAGGTGGACGGACCATCCCTCGGGCTTTCTCCCACGCACATCTGATGGAGCCCGGGGCCTCCTGTCCTCACTGCCACGGCTCCTCCACCCCCTCTCCATCTACTCAGAGGCCACCTGGGCAGGGGCGGGGGCAGGGAGAGCTCAGCAGATGCCGAGGTGGACGGGACAGAGAGTGAGGTGTAGATTAGGGGAGAGGTCAGAGGGGGGCAGAGACGGAGGATGAGGGTGGAGGTGGGGAGAGAGGAGGAGCTGGCGGAGGAGAGAGAGCTCCCAGCTAGCCCAGCCTTCCCTGCAGCCCTGCCCCCCACGCCTGAACCCTCACCACCCTCTTCTCACCTGGCGGGCCCCGCCCTCTCTCTTTGCATGGAGGGAGCGTTCATTTTTGCCGTGGTCACCTTTCATTTGGTCAGGGGCAGCTCAGGCCTGTGAGAATTACCCAGGCCCCGATCGCTGCTGTTTCCTGGATTTGGAATATCAGTCTCATGAGGGGTTGAGAAGGGTTGGGGGATGCAGATTCATGTCATTTCTCCTAGAGAGTGGCAATGGCAAACCCAGGCAGGAAAAGAATGAATGCCCACTGACCTACTATGTGCCAGGCACCATAGGCCCGTCGTCTCATTACCTATGAGGCAGGTGTCCCACTTTATAGATGAAAGGAGGGGATGAATGGGTTCAGAGAGGTTAAGTGACCTGCCCAAGACCACACAGCTGGTTAGTGGCAACAGGTGGGATCTGAACACAGATCTGTTGCACTCAATGGGGAAGAATTTAAGGTAGGGCTTAAAACCAGGATCTTGTATTTGAAAACATTGCTCTGAGAAGGGGCTCATGGGTTTCACCATTCTGCCAAAAAAGAGGTCCCCAGCACCAAAAAAATTACAAACTCCTGCCCCGAATGCTGGGATTATGGGAAAACAGAACACGCTCTGTCCTGCGGACCCGAGCAAACAGCTGGCCAGCAAACGGAGCAGCAGGATGCACACAGTGAGGACCCCGCCCGGAGAACACTGATCTAGAAGCCTGCAAACCCAGAGCTGAATGGAGGCCAGAGAAGGAACGTGAGTTCTGTGGCCAGAGGCAGAGGGTCAGGGTTTTATTAGGGCGGGTTTTTTCTCCTCCCACCTCTGTCTACTCCATCCCTAGCTCCACGCCGGGCACACAGTAGGTTCCCAGTGACTGTGTGTCAAGTCGAAGTGCGTCTTGCTCTGGGTTTGGGAGGCTATATGGCTGTAACCTGGACAACCCCTTTCGTATGTGTGCGTGGGGCAAGCACATGGAAGAACAGTGATGATGATAATACAAATGCACGTGCAGCCTCTGACAGTTTACAAAGCACTCCGTTAATCATGATCTCACCGCGTCCTGACAGGAGGCAAGTGTAAATATTTGTATTATTTCCAACTTACAGGTGAAGCAACAGAGTCTCAGAGAGCGACCGGCTCCAGGTCTGCAGAGCTGGTCAGGGAAAGGCCGTGCACTTGAACCCAGGCTCTCAGGTTCCAAAATCTGTGCAGCGAGAGGTTGTCTTGTCTGGAGCAGGGAGGCCACGGGGAGGCTGGTGAGATGGAAGGCAGGGGGCGGGGGCCTGGAGGGCTGGGCCCAGGCAGGGGCCCTTGATCCAGGCGGCCCTGGGGCACCGGTTCAGGTTCTCCTGGAGCGGAGTGTGCTGGGATCCCAGTGACTTGTGCCCTCCGAATGACTCCTGTAGGTGTGTTTGGTGACACGCTCAGCAGGTGCGAGAAGGATGGGCTGGTGCCAAAGGCCAAGCCCAGAGATGTTTCAGATTTTTCCCTTTATGCCCCTGCAACCAAGCCCTGCTGCTCCAGCGCATATAAGGGACCCAGGCTAGGGCTGCGGCATTCACGGCCTGGCCTCTCTCGTGTCTCTCTGACAACTCCGAGCTCCCTCTCCGCTCTCCAGTCATGATCGCCAGACAGCAGCGTGTTCTAGGCGGGTCCCGGGGCTTTAGTTGTGGCTCGGCCATCGTAGGCGGGGGCAAGAGGGCAGCTTTCAGCTCGCTCTCCGTGTCTGGGGGCGCGGGCCGCTGCTCCTCTGGGGGCTTCGGCAGCAGGAGCCTCTACAACCTCGGGGGGAACAAGAGCATCTCCATCAGCGTGGCCGGGGCCCGTCAAGGTGCCGGATTTGGGGCTGTGGGAGGTTTCAGTGCCGGCAGCTTTGGCGGTGGATTTGGGAGCTCCTTCAGTGGACGGGGTGGTGCTGGCTTCGCCGTCTGCCCTGCTGGGGGGATTCAGGAAGTCACCATCAACCAGAGTCTGCTGACCCCCCTCCATGTGGAGATTGACCCTGAGATCCAGAAGGTCCGGACTGAGGAGCGGGAGCAGATCAAGACCCTCAACAACAAGTTCGCCTCCTTCATCGACAAGGTGAGCTGTCCGCTTGGCCAGACAACGTGGTAGAAGCCAGGGTTCCTGCATCCTGGGATCTCAGACCTGTGCCTGCCACTGGCATTGGGAAAACCACTGAACTTCTCTGGGCCTCCGTTTATCCAGATGTTACAGGGAGTCATTACTCTGAGCCTTTTTCTTTCGTTCCATAGCTGGTGGGCGGGTAGCGCAAAGCCGTCCACTATTTGGGCTTCCTAGATGTGCTGTGTGTTCCTGGGCAAATCATCCAACTTTTCTGGTCCAGTCACCTCAGCTATAAAGTGGGTTCATTCTTTCCCTGCTTCTTCTCAGATTTTAGTTTTGAAAATAACATGGTTAATAATTTAATAATTAACTAATAATTAATTATAGTTAATATAATAATTTAACTATTGGCACATCTGTTGTTGGAGCAGAAGAAAACCAGGCTTGTTTCCCAAAAAGGGACTGACCCCAATGGTGGATTCTAGGTCCCAACAGGATCTTAAAAGGTCCTCGCTGTCATCCTCCTGACTCTGGGCAAAATTGCTCATTTTTCTGTGTCTGTTTGAGGAGAGGAGGGGATGGGTCTCTCCTTTTCTTTTGTAGTCCGACTTCCTCTTCCACGCGGTCTGGAGAGTCATCCTTTAAGCTCAGTTATAGTCAAGGATGATGGATGGTGGCAAGCAGGTCAGCCCCAGAGAGCTGAGGCAGCAGCAGATTCGTGACTGGATGGGTGGGAGAAGCACATTTGGCCAAGGACGCCCTGGTTCTCCGGGTAGTGAGGTCTCAGTGGTCTCAGATGTATGGGGCCAGAATAAACAGTCTTGGAGCAGAGCAAGTGGGAATATTTGCTCTTCTTGCTAGTTTCAATAAACCCATAGGAGCTTAAGGAGTCTTTATCGTGACTGTAGGACATACAGCTGTAACAGCAGGACTAAAGATTTGGTGCTTCTTTGTCTCATCTCTCCTTTTGGGTTTACACTGTGATCAGTCACCCTTGCCTGCTTTCCTTTTGATTCTGAAGCACGTGAAGTGGAAATGTCACGCTACACTGCTGCCTGGGTTCATCTGGCTCGATCTTTTCCTGGAGACAGGGAAAGTTCAGGGAAGTCCCCCTGCATGACTGAGTCTAGCTGAGGCTCTGAATCTGTCTAGGGCCTTGATCTGAAATAGTGACACTCAGCTGTGCACAGGTTCACAGGGACATGCCAGGTCCCTTTATAAGTAAGCTTATTTAGAAAGTCTTCAGTGAATTTATATTCCTTTTCCTTGGGTCAGGATCACTTTGAATGCAAGCCCTTAGACTGTGGTTGTATTTTCTAATTTTATTTTATTTTATTGTTTCGTAGAAGTTCAATGTTCATCTCAGCAACTCACCCCAGGGCCTCTGGATCCCTGTGGGGGAAGCGTTCTTGCTGCACGGCCAGGCCCCGCTGCTCTGGCTGAGCTCTGTTCTCCACAGCCCGCACGGCCCATTTGCTGCCATGCGCTCACGAGCGGGGCCACCATGTTGATTCCAGGGGATGGTGCCTGGAGTTGTGACATGGTAGCCCTGCTTGGGTGGCTCTTGGGCCACCTGGTTGGCTTGGATTGACTGGGCTGCTGTTGGCCTTGGCCAGCCCTCCCGCCAAAGCTTCAGTCCCTCATCAGTTGGTCGGCGCCTTTTCAAAACACAGGTGCGGTTCTTAGAACAACAGAACAAGGTCCTGGAGACCAAGTGGAAACTCCTCCAGCAGCAGACAACCACTACATCCAGCAAAAACCTAGAGCCCTTCTTTGAGGCCTACCTCAGTGCCCTGAGGAAGCAGGTGGATACCTTGGCCAATGACAAAGTACGTCTGCAGTCTGAGCTGAAGACCATGCAGGACAGCATGGAGGACTTCAAGACCAAGTATGTGGGGGGGTAGGAGAGGATACCACCCTACAAATCTGCCCAGCCGTGCCCCAGGCTCCCTGGGCTCCTCTCCATTCATTCAGAATCCCAGGCTCTGAAGATGTCCCAAAGCGGTCAGGAAGGTCCTCTAGTCTGTTCCCCTGCTTCTGCATGGTCACATTTTAATGGGGTGAGGTCTAGTAATCCTAAATTGCCCCAAACATAAAATGAGTGATACATTCAGGGAGCTGGGCTTGCCATCTACATACAAGATTAGAAACCAAACAGATAAAAGTAGTACAGCATAGTCAGAAGAATGCAGGTTGTAGAGCCAGGTGGACCTGGTTTGAACACTGATTCCTCCACTTACTAGCTATGTGATCTTGGGTTCATTGCTTGACCTCTCTGAATCTCAGTTTTCTTCATCTTTAAAATGGGGATAATAGTCCCATCTTATAGGTTGTGAGAATTAAATGAAATTGAGAAAGGTAGAGAAGGCACGTAGCATAGGGCTGGGTGTATAAGGAACATTCAATCCACAGTAGCTCTTATTATGCTCACTATGGGATGGAGCTGAGAAAATACCAACCCTGTCTCAATTCACTCCCACGTGAAACAAAGGGAACTGGAGTGTGGGCAACACTCCTGAGAATTTAATCCACCAAATGGGCCAAAGGACAGCCCTTCTGTGGAAATAAAATCAACCAGATCATTGCTGGTTCCCCTCCTCACATCTTATCTCTAGAAAACAGTCTTTTAAAGGTTTGGTTTCCACTTCTCTGAATAAATCAGGGTCTAGACTGGTACCTCATACATGGTAATTGTTCAATAAATGCAGGTTGAATGAGTGTCTGTATGAACATGGGGAAATGTAGCCAAAAGTAGCTGGATATTTCCAAATGGTTCGATGTCTGAAAACCAGCAGGAGAGAGCCGAGAAATACTACTCATTTTGGGGCTTTTGTCTTTTCCTTCCCGTTCCCAACCCCAGGTATGAAGATGAGATCAACAAGCGCACAGCTGCTGAGAATGACTTTGTGGTCCTTAAGAAGGTGAGAGAGAAAGGAGGGTGGGGGTGCTGTGAGGGACTCCTGCCCTCAGGGTGGTCTTTGACTTGAATCATGAGTTTGTCCACCTCTGTCTCATCTTCACCTGACTTGGTACCATCCAGATCTAACTGAACCAGGTCCTAAGGAATTAAGGTTGGGAAAAAAGCCCATTTGGATAATTAACCTCCACGTCCGCAGGGGGCTTTTGGGGCAGAATATGTCAAATGATCAGTCCCTCCCCACCTCACCTGGTGCTGAGAAGCCTTTCCCAGATGCTGCTGAGAATACCTGTATGTGTTGCTTAGCAACGCCTGCCCCCTATTGTAGCTCCTGCCCCTTGTCTCCTATCCTCCCTCCTCCTCTGCAGGACGTGGACGCCGCCTACATGAACAAAGTGGAGTTGGATGCCAAGGTGGACGCCCTGAATGACGAGATCAACTTCCTGAGGGCCCTCTATGCTGCGGTGAGGACTCCATCCTTCCTCCATTCAGGGAAGGGAATCCTCCATCTGTTAGGCTGCTGGTTAGAGTTCACAGTTCTTTGAAAGGACTCTAGCTCCCTTACTTCAGGGCAGTAGGCTCTCAGCAAGGTCAGGGAGAGAAAGGGTCGAAGTGAGAGATTCGACCGAGAGGTTCACAAAAGATGTTGCCTTAGAAGAGGTGATTAGATCTAAAGATTGCATGAGATGGAATTTATTGCCAACTAGTATTTCTCTAGTGAAATGGATCCATTCCATTTCCTTCCACCCAACATACTGAGCACCCACTGGCATGGAGTGGCATATAGTTCCTAGGGAGCAGTAAAGACCACAAGCATTGCTTTTCTGTCTTGAAATGTCACCAACCGCTTGATTTCGACATAGAAACTTACCCCTTCCTCTTCTCTTTACACATTGGGAATGCCAACTCTGCTTCCGTCTGAGCCTGTGGCATGGCCATTTCCACGATGATAGGAGATTTCTGGTGTCAGAGATTAGGGAAGGCTCTCTAGGAGGCCTGATGTGAGACATTTTCCCCGCAGGAGCTGTCCCAAATGCAGAGCCATGTCAGTGACACATCCGTGGTCCTGTCCATGGACAACAACCGAGACCTGGACCTGGACAGCATCATTGCCGAGGTCCGTGCCCAGTACGAGGAGATCGCCCAGAGAAGCAAGGCCGAGGCTGAGGCGCTGTACCAGACCAAGGTGGGTGTTGGGGATCTCTCAGGAGTTGGGAGTGGCTTCCGGGGCTCTGCTTTTCACGTCTGCGAGCAGGAGATTATCAGCTCCAGCCCAAGAGAGGTCGGAGATGAACTGATTCTTCCAGGCATCACTGATCCTAGTCTGATTTGAGATTATATGACACTTTGTATTATCCCTGCCACGTGGCTATTTTTGCTGAGTTCACTTGAAAATAGACCCTACCCAAACATGCCTGACCCCTGGTTCCCTGTGTCTCCTGGGAATCAGGTCCAGCAGCTCCAAACCTCAGTTGACCTACATGGTGACAACCTGAAGAACACCAAGAATGAGATTTCAGAGCTCAACAGGTTGATTCAGAGGCTGCGGGCCGAGATTGAGAATGTCAAGAAGCAGGTAGGTGTCCCCGCCTTCCAGCTGCAGTCCAGGGCCGGGGGCCTAAGGCAGATGTTTCCATAGTAGGCAGGCAGATAAGGCGTCAGGCTAGAAGATCCCGAGCTTGTTTGCAGGGGATTTGTAGCTCTTTATATAAGCCGTACCTAGATCTTTCCAGCAATATCCTAGTTAATATGACATGACACCCCAGTAGTTAAGGTTTCTTGGCTCTTTTTCATTGGTTTTTGCTTATCTTCATCTAATCAGTTGGGTGGGGGCATTGGTGGACCCTGGCTGGAGTGAATGAAGTGCATAAGAGTCAGGGAAGGTGGGTAGAAGGACAAACAGAATCCTGACATCTTAACTGAAGCAAAGCTGCTACAGGAGAGGAGAGAGACGTAGAGGTCTTGACAGCAGGACACTGATGTTGCCGGTCCCATGCCCTTGTCCACAGTGCGAGACTCTGCAGGCATCTGTGGCTGATGCAGAGCAGCGTGGGGAGCTGGCCCTAAAAGATGCCTACAGCAAGCGCACAGAGCTGGAGGCTGCCCTGCAGAAGGCCAAGGAGGAGCTGGCCCGGATGCTGCGCGAGTACCAGGAGCTCTTGAGCGTGAAGCTGGCCCTGGACATCGAGATTGCCACCTACCGCAAGCTGCTGGAGGGCGAGGAGAGCCGGTGAGGGGGGGAAGGCAGGGTGGGAGCAAGAGGAATGGAGAGGTCCAGAGCCATGGCAGGTCCAGGGCACCTCTGCTGGGCCACTTGCTTCAGTGCTGCGCTGGTGCATTACAAACCAGGACAGTGTTGGATAACAGGTTCACGTGCAGGCCTTAAATCTTAAAGGCTCCTTAAAGGTGGGAAAGGTGTTGACACTTGCTTATTGAACAAAGCGTGGCTCTGGGCTTGCTGTGGCTCACTGCTCTTTCTGTCCCCTACAGGATGTCTGGAGAATGCCAGAGTGCCGTGAGCATCTGTAAGTACCTTCTGCCCCTGCTGTGGCCGTTTGTTCATCCTGGTTTGGGCTGAGACTCCCGGTGCCGGCACTATTGGAATAACCATGTCCTTTGCCTCTCTCCCACAGCCATGGTCAGTGGTGCTGCCAGTGCAGGAGGCATCGGTGGAGGATTAGGAAGTGGCTCCGGGTTTGGCCTGGGTGGTGGTTTTGGCTCTGGCTCCGGAAGTGGCTTTGGGTATGGTGTTGGTGTTGGTGGCAGTTCTGACAGTAAGACCATCTCTACCACCACCTTGACCAAGAGATCCTACCGATAGAGAAGATGAGGTTCCTGCAGCCCCCTGAGCCCAGCCGGGCCCAGCCCTGGTGTCTCTGTGCTTCCCTCACCCTGCCTCCACTCTTCCCCTCTGGGGCTTGTCTTACGAGTGTCACCTCAGTGCCAGGGCACAGACTCTGCCCTCTTGGAGTTTGGTAGCTTCTTCTTGATTTGGGTTTGGTGACTCACCTGGAATGGGAGGGGTGTCAGCTGACTCTTCACCTCCATGGACAGAGGAGAATACAACCAGGAGCTTCATCTCCAGAATTATCAGGGCCACATATGTCCCCTCCCAGCCCAATGTTTTCTCCCACTAGATCCCAGATATCCCTCTAAATCAGGACCAAACTCCTTCCCAATCACTTGGCAGCAACTAGCTCTGCAAGATCAGGACAAGAACCACTCAGAGTCCCACCAACTCTTCTCCTTCCCTCTGTCCATTTTCGGGTGAATCTTCAATAAAATGCTTTTGTCATTCTATCTGAGCAATTGTACTTGTTCCCTGGGGAGAAGTCTCCAGAATTCAGGTGAAAGTGAAGGAGGCTGGGGCCTGAGGGATCTGTCTGTACAGATCAAGGTCATTGGCTAATTTCTCAAGTCTCTACTTCTAAGTTGCCCAGATTATTGAGGGAGAAGTGCACTGTGTGGAGCCTGAAGGCCGCCTACAGAACAGATGCACAGGTTCAAAACACCCAACAGTTATACGAAGACGGCCCATCATAGGCAACCAGGGCCGGCCATCTCAGTGCTGAGCCTGCATGAACCTGGAGAGAATGGGGCCAAGTTGGGAGGTGTGGGGTGTAGGGCAGGTGTGAGGACAGGTGGTCAAGGGCGAGAGTGGGGAAGGTGAGGCAGGTCTTCTGGAGCAGTAGTGGGTGAAGTTGCCTGATTGGGGCCAGCCCTGGAGATTCTGGTGAGGACAGTCAGAGGTGGGGGTCTGGGTATAGCCTTTGTGGACATCCTGTTTCTATACTGGACCGATTCCACGATACCTGGAGCAGCATAGTCTTCCCTTCTCCGGAGAGAGACTGCACAACTCCTTGTGTGCAGTCTAACCTAAATCTCTCCTACTGCAGGGCGGAATACGCTCATTCCCTTGGCCACCCAGTTGGTGCCTCCCACCCATGACTGCCAGAGAGTTCATTCAAACTCTGATCCCTCCAGCGCAGTGCCCGTGGGGCCCTTACTGTGTGTAGACAGAAGGGCACGTCATTTGCCCAAGGCCAGTCCCTGCCCACAGGGCCTTTGCACTGACCCTGAGGCAGGCTCAGGGTAGCAGGGGCAGAGCAGCCAAGGGTTAATCTCAGGAGCTTGTGCTCCCTGAGCAGGGGCCTTTTACCAGGAGCAGCCGCTCCCTGGGCTGGATGGCTCTGTCCTTCACGAGAGCTCGAGAGCTCGAGAGCTCCGCGTAATCTCCCCATTGTCTCGGGGCTTACCCCGTGTGTCAGAACAGGAAGTCTTTGACTTCTTCCCATTGCAGCACCCTTCCCCAGGGAAAATGCTGAATTGGCTCTTTTCTGAGTTTCTGGGGTGGGGAGGAGGAGCCAAGGGTTGGAAGCAGAGGAGGGACTTCTCAAGTTCACCCACCCAGAAGTTGCAGGTTGTGAGGGGCCCCACTGAGAAGCCGGGGGCAGGAAAATGAATTTCTCCCGCCCTCTGAGCAAGCGAAGGGTGGCGGTAGCCAGCCTGAGTGGTGCTGCTGGGTCTCTCAGGGCCTCTTCAGTTGAATTTAACGATTTACGCACAAAGTCAGGTCGTAGGTTATACATGTGCATGTGATCTTAGACTAAACATGTTTGTATTTACAGGCAAGTGGCTACGTGAGTGTGTTTGTTGTCTATTTGTATAAGAAGACTCCTGTTTTACATAAAAGAGGAAAAACATTCATGTTGGCATCTGTTTCTAGAACAGTCCAGGGGAGTGGAGGATCCTGGCCATGATCATAGGTTTGGAGCTGGCTGGCTAGTCAAAGGGGATTATCTGGGGGGAAAATCCACTTCTGAGATAACAGGTTCCACCCTTCTCCTAGATCTTTTGAATTGGATTCTGGTCAGCTCTTTGTGTTCAGGGGAATACGGAGACACAGGTTGCATTACATGCCCCTTGAGAGCCCCAGGACCTAGCATCCCCCCCCACCCCCCAAATGCTTTACCTTGAGGCTTACTGAAATCGCTTCTCACATCGTAATGGCCCAACTGTGGGTTGGCAAATCTTTAACTCAATTTATTTGGTTCATCTGTCCTGACCCGCACTCTCCAAGCTCTGGACTTCGAGCCTTGGCTGCAACCTCACCCTTGATTTGGCTCAGGCTCCTGGCTTCCAAGCAATGCCCATATTTGCATAGGTCCCTCTCCCTTTACCAAGACCCTCTGCTCTGGGTCCAGCCTTCTCAGTTTCAAAAATTCTCGCCACCACTTCTGAGGTCTCCCTCCCTCGTTGCTAGTACAAACAGAAGGACATAGCAAAGAGGGGTTTATTTAGTGTCCCATTGTGGGATTTTGGTTTAGCTTACTTTGGACTCTAAGACCAGAGGACCTCAGAATAAAGCACGTCCAGTACCATGTCTTGGGTGGATGGTCAGGGTTTAGTGAGACAACTAGCTAGGGAAATAATTGAGGGACTGTGCCCTCTTTGTGACCCCTCAGGACATGGTAATAGTGGGCAGCCCAGGATAAAGGGAAGGGGCAGGGTGAGGGAAGAAGCTGTTTTAGCACCTGGTCCAGCTTTTTGCTGTGTTGAAAGCAGGGACTGAGCAGTCACCTCTTTATCCCTTGGGGAATAGGCTGAGAGTATAGGGCTGTGGCCATGAGGGTCTTGGTCGTGGCGGGAGCCCCAGAACTCAGGGTCATTGCTGCCCATGGTTTCCTGGCTGACTTGGGGTCTAGTAAAATTGCTCTGCATCTGCAGTTTTTTCACTTGAAGTGTTGTGGATTTGATTTCAAGAATTCAAAGGAGAAACTAGATGAGCTAGGAAGAGATTTTCTGGAGAAAGGGTTTTGATCGCCATTTGCCATTCACCTACCCATCTTCAACCATACTTCCATCCACCATCCACCAATCCACCATCCATCCATCCTCCATCATCCATCCATCCACCACCCACCACCCATCCATCCACCATCAATCCATCCATCCACTATCCACCATCCATCCACCCACCATCCATCCACCCACCATCCATCCATCCACTATCCACCATCCATCCATCCACCGGTGACCACCCATCCACCCATCCACCCACCATCCATCCATCCATCACCCACCACCCATCCATCCACCATCCATCCATCCACCCACCATCCATCCATCCACTATCTACCACCCATCCACCCACCATCCATCCATCCATCCACCCATCCATTCACCCATCTACTCATTTATTAGCCTTTGAATTCTTTAAGGGCAGGAACAATGCATTATTCATCCTGATATTTCAGGGCCACTGTGCTTGCCACACAGTAGACGTTTAACAAATGCTGGGTGAATGAATGAACAAATGTTTATTGAGTGCCCAGTCTGTTCTAGGACATGTTTTAATAAGAATAGACTCTGCTTTCAAGGAGTTTTCAATCTAGATGATAATGTCTAGATAAAAACATGTACATAAATAACTTGGTAAACCAGACAGACGGAAGAATCCTCTTGGGAGTTACAGCCAAAGCGAGGGGCATCCAGAGGAGGGTGAAATTACTTCTAGTTTTGGGTGAGGGGGTTGGCAATCACAGAAGGCTTCATGCAGGAGGTGGCATTTAAGTGGGGTCTGGAAGGACAGGCAGGCCTGGGTGCTGGAGATGGGCGTGGGGGGGGCAGTGATCTGACATGGTGGGACTCTAATCGCTAAGAGCCAGTCTCCTCTTCTAGGAAGTCTCGCCAGCGCCATTCCTCCCGTTGGCTCACCTTGTTGCTCTGTCTCCCTTAGGCCTCCTCAGGCCTCATTCTGATCACACTTCCATCCCTGTGCAGTGTCCTGAGGGACTGCAGCATTTCCCTCATCAGACGGAGAGCACCTCCGTCTGCAAATCTGCTAAGAGCCTCAGCTCGACAAGCATTACAGCAGGGTCCTCGCCGTTGGGGAGGATGTAGTTCAACGTGAATATGTGCGCGCACGTACGGGGATTGTTGGCAAGGCAGGCATGTTAAATATGGATTTTCCATACTTTCCGGAGAGTGTTAAGAGCAATGGTAGATGTGAACACCAAGGCTCTGGAAGCACAGGGGAGAAGCACTTACTTTTGCTGAAGGATTCAAGGAAGGCTCCCTGGAGGAGGTGACATCTGAGATAAATCTTGAAGCCTGAGATGGAGTCAGCCAGGTGAAAGGGGTGTGGACCTGGAGTGCATGGGAGAAGGGTGCTCTGGGCAGCAAGAACACCAGAGTAAAGGTAAGGAAGTGTGGGGCAGTGCAGTGTGCATATAGACCCTGAGCAGCTTCGCATCACTCAAGGTTGAGGGCGGGGAGTGGTGGGGGGAGGCTGGAGAGGCAAACAGAGGCCAGGCTGTGGAGGAGCATGGCTTGGCCCATTGTCCAACTAGTTTGGGGCCTGGGCTTCATGTTCTAAATTAGACAAGTTCAGAAGGGGGTGTGTCTAAGAGAAATAGCTCTGAAGGAGATGAGGAGGGAACTCTGGGCCACCTGCTCTCAGGTGTGGCCTTCAGGCCCATGATGTACTCTGGACCCATGTCTGGAGATTGCCATGTCTGCACCTCACTCCCCTCCCCGTAGCTATAACGCCAAGCCTCGCAACTGCTCCGCCTCCTTTCCTGCTCTTGTTTACTGTGAGGAAATGTCCAGGGACTATGGTTGTCGTCATTCCTTTGTCTCCTGGCAGAATCGTCTTCCCCACATCATATTCATTCCTTCATTATTTGTTGTGTACCTCCCATATGCCAGGGGCTGTGAACTGCTGTGTCCAAATGTTCTTAGATTACTTACACCCTTAACTCAGATGTCTGCATGCTTTGCTCCTTCACTGCATTCAGATATCTGCTCAGGTCCACCTAGACCACTCTCTATGAAATAGCCCCCCTTGTCATGTCTACCCTCTTTTTCCTGCTGCATTTATTTCATAGCATCTTCCACCACCTGACATAACATGTATTTATTTCTTTAATGTCTGTTCCCCACTGGCAGGTGAGCTCTAGAAGGGCAGGGACTTTGTCTATTTTGTCCACAACTGCATTGCTGGTGACTAGAACAGTGCTTGGTAAACAGTAAGTGCTCAGTAAGTGTTCATCGCATGAACAGAGAGAGCCAGGGCAGGCTTCTCAGGGCTGTGGAAGCAGAAGGACATTAAGTCAAAAGTATGATGGAGAAAGTAGGATGCTTGGGTGGTCACAGGAGCAATTAATTCATTGAATTAAACTGTGATTTTTCCAGAGCAACAAAAGAGGCCCCATTCTTACATTAGGACAGAAGCACATCCCAAAGTGACACCAAATGACAAATACAAAATAATAGCTAACGTTTCCTGAGTCCCAACTATTTC